TTGGGTGGATTAGGTATGGACACCAAGGCACTGAATGACTACTAAGCGAATTGGTTTTTGCACAAGAAGGTCCTTTAAGGGTCTTTTCACGACACCAAGACATTTGTCTATCCAACTGTTTTGGAAAAGCTGGCATATTTTATTTACCAGTACCAATCAGGCAAATTATCAATTCACAAATAAGAATAATAAGTGGTGCGTTAGCAATTTTGTCTAGTGTATTTATGTTTCAGTACATAATAAAATATATGTTCAAATTAAAAAATTGGAAAAAATAAGCATTGTCATTTAAAGATCAGTTTATTTAATAAGCATTATAAGTAATATTTAAAAACCTTATATATATATAGAGAGAGAGAGAGAGATCTTTGATGATGATTACACGTGCAGCATATTAATAACAGTAATGATCATAATTATAGGATACAATAGTGAGATGCTTACCAGTTGAATTCGTTTTTAATCCCTTTTAATACTTAAAAAAATACAATATATATATAAAATACATACAATAAATACAAAGCTTCCAATCAATTAAATCAAGATCATTTCAATTGTATGAATTTTGTACGCTAAAGCTTCCATAAACTCTTCTTGTACTTACGGTACGTAATCTTAACCATTTGAAAAATCCCAAGACGTGCATGTACGAGGGGTTATCAAAAATTCATGGACTGGCATTAAAATAAAACCGCTTTAGGTACATGTACATTAATGTCTTTTCACACATTTACACAACATCATCCATCGATCTCTGTCCTCGTAACTCCTACCATAATCTCTAAGTTTCCAATGATATCGTTCTATACCACAACCGCTGCACTATTGTTGTTTACTAATTTTTATTTGAAATTTGACTATATAGTCGTGTACTTATTTTAATTTTCAAATAAAAATTAGTAAACGACACTATCATTTTCTGTTTCTTCTTTTAAGCTTAAGTTCATGCGTACAATGTACACTAAAACACACCGAAAGGATATTGTTAATTCATGCTTACAATGTACAGGAGTATTATAAAATCTTAAATATAGTGGGTTACGGGTAGAACAAAACAATTTTCAAATATACAGGTTACAAATTAAATTGTAAATTAAAATATAACTCAATATTGGTATATGTCATACATCTTGGTAAAATAATTATACCTGGCCTGTATTGTTAATTTAAAAAATACACATTCATCGATTTGAAAAAAAATCGTATAATGACAGATAAACGAAGAAGTGTTTCTTCACTTAATTGCACTAGAGATATTTCCACGGCCTTTGATTAGGGAAAATACTACATGTTTAAATATACAATTAAAAACAAAAATTGTTATTTATTTTTAAAAAAAAATGCAGAATTGAAATTGAAATCTTAAACCTCTTGAAAAAGTACACATCTTAATATAACATAGCTTTTATTAAGATACACTCTTTTCTTTTCCCTCAACAATATTGGGACTGCTGTCTTTTTTTGTGAGGAAGCGTTTTGAGAGAAGTTATCCCTTTATTTCTGAAAAAAATCTTTTTTTAAATGAATTGAACAACTACAATTTACACCGAAAAAGGTTGTTTGCACATACTGTATACAGAATAAACTGCCATTTAAAACTTTCCTTTAAGGCTCTTTGAAATACATATGTATTTTTAATTTTCTCTGAACTAGTCCCAAAGACAGAAACCGTTATTGGAAAGAATCTACATAATGAAAGTAAACTTTCAACATTTAAAATCCAAGCATTTTATTATTTCTGCCCAATTAGTTCTTGAAAACCATTAGGGTAGAAATGATAAATTATTAGAATTATCATCCTACAAAAAATCTCTCAATCTGAATGAATTTTCTTTTTTTTTTTTTTTTTTTTTTTTTTTATGGTAGGATTTCATGAATCTCTGTTTTAGTGGTTTTCGAGAAATAGTGGGGGAGTGAAAGAAAAATGTTACAGCATTAAAACAAACAAGCAATCAAAGTACACATTCCAATTATGCAAATAAGTGCCGAGTATTTACCAATATTTACATATATACATACAAGGACTGTCATTGTTCTTACGAGTGTATTGCAGTAACCACATTGTGTTAGAACATGAAATATCTGCACATTCCCTTGTTAATTGTCATATTTACGTGTGTGTGTGTGTTTTTGTTTGTTTGTTTGTTTTTGAAAATGTTTAACTGATATATAACCCTAGATCCCGACTGTTGTTATATAAGAAATGGAAAACAAGGGATCTTTCACTTATCAAATAATTTGCCAATGAAGTATTATACTTTATTTCTTTTTTTTCCCATATTCCCCCTCGAAAATTTGGACCTTCGCGCATGTGGCTAGTTTGAACAAACTCGAACCTGTACTACATGAAAATCCTGAATTGAGACAGTTTCTTGTTCACGATTTTTTTTAAATCAGATTTTTTTTCTCTATCGATATCAAAATACCGTCTTTTTACTTCGTAATTTGAAATCTATTTCAAAAGTTGTTTTTTTCTTTTAACTTTTTCATCTTTAATTTAACCATTATTAATCTAATGCATGCAGCCGGGAAATTTTGTGTTCAATTTTCATAGGAAACGATGGCACTATGAAATTTTATCTGTATCCCGCTGCACTTTTGATGTCCCGAAATCAGAAACATATTTAAAATTGAAAAAAAAAATCAACCTGAAGTAAATTAATTTTAATTGTTATTAAAATTTTATATGAGAATCTTTAAGGACTTAAAAAAAATAATTTAGAATTTTTTTTAAATGTTATGAATCGAGTTAATTACCAATGAATAGAAAAGGGTAGGATTATGGGGTTTTTTTTTCTTCGTCTGTAATAGTACATTTCTTGAATAAGGGAGCATCCCGACCTCATCAAACAAAAATCTCCAAACAATGGGTTTGATTAATGTCGTCATCTCGAGAAACTCGACCTTAATTTTTTTCATCTGTCCCAACAATTTGAGGTAATCTGGATTATTAATTTTCTGCAAAAACAGAACTGTCATTTTGTACCTGTATTGCAGATTGCGATATTAATGAGCAATGATTTGATATTTACAAAGATATGTATATTTAAAAAAATGTTAATGCTGAAATCATCCCACTGTTCATTCATAAAACAAATTTGCTCCAAAGCTTACGATTTTCCAAAAGAATCTAATTTATAATTTAAAAAAAAGCAAGTAATTTTAAAATATAAACCTGACAGAAATGGCCTTTTAACTTCACAATTGAGAGTCTTTTATCCATGTGCGAGTTATCTCTCTTATCAGAGGGTCAGTGAACCTTAATACTGTGCACAGTTAAGGAGGATATATTTCGTAAATCACTATTTTCTTCAAAAAAAAAAAAATCATCCTCTACAATGCCTTTTATCAAATTTTGCCCTGTATATTACATTTTAAATTTAATTTGATTTTTAAAAAAATATTTCCATCTAACAGTTAATATTCCATTTAAAAAAATCTGTCATAGTTACAGTAAAAATTTCTACTGCAGAGGTTTTTTTCCTCAGCTATATCCTTAAGTATGCACAGTTATATTACAAAGAAGCTGGATCATATTTTTTTTTCAGTAACTGATATAACATGCAAAAAAAAATAAAATAATTAACTATTGAGACTATCCGTAAGGGTTTTCTAGAATTGCTTAGGACGTTCTGGTATCATGATCAACCAATAGTTCATATCCTATACTTTTTTGTGTGATATAAAGATGTGAAAGAAAATATAAAATTGAATGAGAAAAGTACTCATGACAATGACAAGATTAAAAAATAACAGATTATCAAACTTCCAACAATAGATGATCGCAATAAAACATACATGTACTTCAATCCATTATTCATTTAAAGTATGAATACAATTGTGCAAGCTAAATATATTTTGCATACAAAACCCAACTAAGAAAATATATATATCTACAATAAATTCAGACTAGTACAAATCTTGTTTAAAACAAACTATAAGGTTATACATATATATTTTTGTTTTAAAACATTTCAAACCAGTATAAAAATAATATTTTCTGATTAAATAGAGGATATTAAACGCGTTGTAGTTAAATATGGAATTTATTTCACGAGTGGGACAGGATTTTATGATATTTTCACGAGTACAAAGCACAAGTGACTTTTTTTTTTTAAACTGTCCTCACGACTGAGTCAGAATATCATTTTGATATCCTTTCTCACTGTGATAAGATACCACCTTTATTCAATGAATAAATTACAGTATTTCACTGTTGAAAATGTAATAAAAATATACATTTTATATTTCAAACTGAAACTTTTCTGCAAAGCAGAACAACGCAATGGTAGGGAGAAAACATATATCACACTCCACGGTAAAATATTATAGCACCTCAATCAAAGGTTAATGATAGAGAAAAAGAGGGAGTACATCATAGAAAAGTTTTACAGTTTTGATGTTTCCCCAGTGTTCAATGTAAACCATTCAATAAACATTTAAGGAGGAGAAAAGGTTTTCTGTTTGACCAATTCCTTTTGCATGCAGTCAGTTTACCCCCAGGCTCATATTTACGAACTTGAGTGACTGGGGATAAATTATTTGAAACCTGAGTTAAAACATCATTCCAATTCGATAAACGAACTTTCGCAGAAAAAAACTCCATGAGGCTTTATCACTCGTTCAAATTAGTCGACAGAGTTGCTGAGCAACTCTCCTCTGATATTTTCTAGAAACAATTTTTCAAAAATTTAAAGAAACAGTATACGTCTTTACTGAACACTGTTTCATATTACTCCGTTCTTGATCGTTATCTCTATCCGATGCTGAAAATTTCTTAAACTTCTCTGACATGTCTGGTTCTTGCTTAAATGGAATCAAATGACAAATACTTTTGAGGGGCTTATGTCGGCAGTGCATGCTGCCCATATCCTTTTTCGTATGTTACGTAATAATATGTTGTTTAAATTTAAAAAAATTTCCTATTAAAATCGATGAATGCTGAGGATAGCAATTCGTCTTTTCATGAAAAGTCATTTTTCCATATGCTCCCTATAAAGTTGTGTTTTATGTACTATCATGATCAGAGAAGTTTTCATGATATATACTGCGAATACAAGAGTACACATGATCCAGTTCAGTTTTCACAGATTCTTTGATTTGTTCAGTGCGCACAAATACACTACAAATTGTTGAAACAGGTGATAAAAGTTAAATTTAGTTGCCTGTTGGCCGAATTATAGCTCTGTATCAGCTGATTGACGTTGCACCATGAGCATTTTCGGCGTTTTCAAAACAAAGTCTTAATTTCAGTTTATGTTCCATTTCCAAGCACTCTATTCCTTCTTGGAGTCTAAAGCACATGGATTTATTCTGTGTTTGTGCCCACTGTCCTAAATACACAAAAGCTGGAGAAATGACATCCACATTATTTTCTTCTTGTTGCACCAGGAATATCAAAGCCCCACTCTCGCCATTTTTCCCAAAAATTGTTCCCTCCCAAGATTTGATCAAATCAACGCGTCTCGTTCCAACTGAAACGGAGTTATCGTCAGCAAGACTCTCGTCATCTGGAGGTGTCATATATTGGACTCCGCAATATTGTCCTTTCTGCTCATTTTCTTCGCTGTCCCATTTTATTACTGTTCTTCCGGTGTGGTCATCTATTGTGTTGCTAAAGGCAACTATTTCAATAAGTTTGTCATGACGACCGCGCACATTCTTATCACAATAGATCGATGTTCTGTTGTGGACAATTCCACAAGTAATATCCACGATTGCATCGAATGGATTTTCCTTTTGCCTGCCAAAGGGGTACATATTAATCCCTAACTCCTCTCTTTCACAAGAACACGTAAATGAATTTCTACATTTGCTACATTTTGAGAAAAACACGCGCATTTCTTTCTCAGGCGCCACGTGTTCACAAGTTATGAAATAAAGAGTATTAACTCGGCGTGGTGTTTCGCTATCTGAATCTACTCTCTCTGCAAAAACTGTAATAATGCCACTTCGGGACCCCTCGCCCTTTATCATATCACCAGTCCGGTAGTGAAATATGGGCTCTTTCCATTCCAAAAGACAAGATCTATCGACTTCGTAGTGAAAATGAACAGCTCTCTTGATACGAGAAAGCAGACTTTCATCACCCATCCATTCAGGATCAACATAGACAGTAAACTGTTTGTCCTCTATTCCAAACGACCTTACTCCAATGATCCTGCACACAGAGAACATTTCGTTAATTCTAAAGAATGAATATGTAAAAAAAAAAATCTTTTTTACAAGTTTCTTTTATTTCATTTATTATTTTCCATTGTCTCCTCCCTGTATGCAATGAGAAAAGTTAGACTAAAACAATATTTAAAACATGATTAGGACTTAAGTCTTTTGTTTGTGTTGTCCATTCTATAGCTTAGTGTTGCGCTAACTCCTCAAACAATCCATTTCGTTATATCTTTAAAAATTGGATTTTATACAAATCTATACTTAAACATGTCTAATATTTCTAATACATGTCTAAAACATATTATATGTTTTACTGAGCGGTAAAAAAAAAATGGATGTTTGACCGGAGAGCGAGATATTGGACCTGTCGGTATAATATTGGACTGCTTACGTCACACTGTTGGCGGGATCAGCTAAATCTCATTACCATTCGTTAGTGTTCGACAGTAAAAAGTTTAACTAGTTTAACAGTGCTAAAGGAAAGTAACATCGATATCCTAGAAGCCAGCACAAGGTACATATATGTCAAAAAATTACAATTAAAGGTAAAACAAAACATTTATTGACTGTGTTCTCGGGCAAAATGCGTTTTGTCGACCCCTCGAACCCAACTGTTTGCCTTCGGCCTAATGGCCTCTGGCAAACAGTATGATTCTTGGGTCCTACAAAATGCATGTTGCCCTTAAACCCAGTCAATAGATGTATAAAGTTACCTGTAAGTGTCCATTCTTTTTGAAACCAGAAGTTTCTGGTGAGACTGTAGCTCTACTGGTTTGTACTTAAATAGGAAGAGAAAAGTAGCACTAGGACTTGAAACTATGCAACAGCAATAAATAGAATAATGATTCTTGGTTTAGCTTCTTTTTGTGGTAAGATTTATTGCAATCAAGCTAAACTGTAGGAGGAGTAGCATTTTCCCCGGGTTTCAATTTTTATAGTAACCAAGGCAACACCGCTCATCTAAATTAAAAAACTATAAACAGATTTATGTATTTTAGTGTAGTCCACTTGTGTGCCAAAAGTATTATTGAAATCAGACCAAAACTGTAGAACGAGTAGCATTTTGAAATATTTCACAGAAATTTCTATTATTATTAACCAAAGCAAGACCGTTCTTTTAAATGAAAAACCAAGACATAGAATTATGTATCGTAGTGTAGTCTACTTTTGTGTCAAGTTATATTGAAATCAGACCAAAACTATATGAGGAGTAGCATTTTGAAAGAATTTCACGGAAATTTCTATTTTTTAAATGACCATGGCAACAACTTTCAAAAAATATAATTCAGGCAATTCACTAAATGTTAAGATACGAATTCTAATTTTGAATCTTTGGCTACATGCAAGATAATTGAAATCAATAAAAAAAAAATTATCGTGTATTGTTGAAAAATACTTTTTTTTAATAAAAAGAGCTGCGACCTATAATTTGCATTATAAAATGTGTTATTACATCACGATTTAAAGATGAGCCAAATTTGCTTCGCTCTCGAATAGCTACATGTAGTTAGATTTTATTAATTTGATCTTAAAATTATAGTACCTGGATAGCCGAATTTGAACATCGTAATGAACTTCATCATGAACTTTGGAGTTTTTACGTATTTGTTGCAGCCTTGGAATTAGATGTTCTTGTAGAAAGTTTCGAATATTGCTCGCATTCTGAATTTCGTCATAAAAACACTGTTTGATGCACTCTTGTCGCTCCTTGATTTGTTCTAAAATACAAGACATAAAATCATCGACCCATGTAGCAGAATTTCTTTTTGGTCTCAACTCCTTACTTGTACATGGAGTTTTAACGATGCATGCTACCATTCCATTCATATAACTTTGGTAGTATACCAGCAAGAAATCTGATGCACCTTTAAAACTCTCACTAAAAGTCTCTTTGCACAATTCTCCAACAGCACGATCTCTAAATTGTCGTTTTTTATCTCTGTCCATTATAATTATGGGAAAATCTTTCCGATATGCGTCAAACCAGCGTGTGTGCTGCAAACTGCTGCTTAACCTGTTTTCAAATTCTGCGCAAGAAGGAACCTTCTCGAGATCTTGTGACGATTTTTCGAAGACCGAGAGTAATGTATCACATTGTTTGACCACCCAGTCTTGAACTTTTCTTGATAGAAAACCCCTGAGCATACAATCTTTTTCTGAAAAAACATCTTCGCTTACTAGACCAGTTCTTTCCAGCCTGTCCACAATGGACTGCATTTCTTTCTTTGATCTCGGTCGAAAAGTCAACACAGTAATGGGTTTGAATAAAATACTTGTTCCATGGCCCACGTTTTCTATGTAGACCTACAAAAACATTTTTGGGAATGAAATTATCTCATAGTTTCTTAATCATGTATGATTGATATATTCTCTAATTGCAGAACAATATTCCAAACAAATCAAAACTCTTTTAAATGATGTAATAACAAGCAAATTCAAAGAATTGTGGTCCCAAGCTTTCAGTGTCTTAGTGGGTGGGATGCCATTTAATATTTATGGCATTTTTTAACTGTCTTGTTTGTGGGTTTTGTCTTCATACAAAAAGACATTATTTATTGAATTAATAACAGTTCTTGCAAAAATTATAGCATCTCAAAACTACAACAGACTTCAAGATCAAATACAATCCGAAAGGTCTTGTCAGAAAAATACACATGTAAAACAAGAGGCCCATGGGCCACAACGCTCACCTGAGTAACTTTGACCCTGCTGTTCTTCACCTGATTTCCTTCTTGTTATACCAATTGTGGCCTCGCCCAACTCCCCGAGGTCATGATATGAACAATTTAGAATCTACCCCAGGATGCTTCCACATAAGTTTCAGCTATTCTGGCCCACTGGTTCTTGAGAAGAAGATTTCTCCTATATATTTCAATGTAAAACTTGGATTCCCTATTGTGGCCTCGCCCTACCCGTGGGGGTCATGATTTGAACAATTTAGAATCTACACTATCCCAGAATGCTTCCACATAAGTTTCAGCTATTCTGGCCCAGTGGTTCTTGAGAAGAAGATTTCTCCTATATATTTCAATGTAAAACTTGGATTCCCTATTGTGACTCCGCCCTACCCCCGGTGGTCATGATTTGAACAATTTAGAATCTACACTACCCCAGGATGCTTCCATATACGTTTCAGCTATTCTGGCCCAGTGGTTCTTGAGAAGAGGATTTTTCTTATATATTTCAATGTAAAACTTGGATTCCCTATTGTGGCCCCGCCCTACCTCCGGGGGTCACTATTTGATCGATTTAGAATCTACACAGTCACTACCCCATTATGCTTCCACATAAGTTTCAGCTTTTCTGGCCCAGTGGTTCTTAAGATGAAGATTTTTAAAGATAATACTATCTTCTACATATTTCAATGTAAAACTTGATTCCCTATTGTGGACCCGCCCTACCCCCGAGGGTCATAATTTGTACAATTTAGTATTTACATTATCCCAGGATGCTTCCACATAAGTTTCAGCTTTTCTGGCCCAGTGGTTCTTGAGAAGATTTTTTAATGACCCCATCATTTTTTTTCTTTTCTAGATTTTCTCCCCTTTGAAGGGGGCTTAGCCCTTCATTTTAACAATTTAAACTCCCCTTCACCCAAGGATGCTTTGTACCAAGTTTGGTTAAAACTGGTCCAGTGGTTCTTGAGAAGAAGTTGAAAATGTGAAAAGTTTACAGACGGACGGACGGACGACGGACAACGGGTGATCAGAAAAGCTCACTTGAGCTTTCAGCTCAGGTGAGCTAAAAATATGAAAGCCCTGTCTCTTATGGAGCATAAAGGTTATGGTCAAGGTTATTTTTTTATAAGTGGGTCAAACTTCTAGGTCAAGTCATGAAGTCAAAAATGATATACTTTTGTGAAAGGTGTTGTCAGAGGTAATGTACATGAAGAAATATGAAAGCTCTATCTTCTCTCATTTATGTAAAATTAATTTTAAAGAAGACTCTAGGTGAAACTTTAAGGTCAGGGTCACGAAGTCAAAAACCAGAGTACACAATCGGAAAGGTCTTGAAACAGGTAATGCACATGCCGAGTGTAAATGCCATATCTACTCTCAATCAAACAATGTTAAATTTTTTTGAAAATTATGTCAAACGTCAGGGTCATGGGAAAAAAATCATAGAACACTAAAAATTTCTATGGTGTCCAGATAGGGCCATTTGCAAAAGCTCAACAGCGCGTTCAGAAAAACACGCCATCGCTCTAACACACAATACGCCGTCACGCTAACACGCTTTCAAACAACACGCCGTCGCGCAAACACAACTTCACACAACTCGCCGTCGCGCTAACACGCAACACGCCGTCGCGCTAACGCAATTACACACAACACGCCATTCTGCTATCACACAACACGCTATCGCGCTATCACGAAACACGCCGTCACGCTAACACGCTTTCAAACAACACGCCATCGCGCCAACACAACACGACACGCCGTCGGTGAGTTGTGTGTTAGTGCGACGTCGTGTCGTGCGAACTTGTGTTAGCGAGACAGCGTGTTGTTCAGTGTTCGCGACGGAGAGTTGTGTGTTAGAGTGACGGCGTGTTGTGTGTTAGCGCAACGGCGTGCTGTGCGAACTTGTATTAGCGTGACGGCGTGTTGTTCAATGATGTGTTAGTGCGATGGTGTGTTGTGTGTTAGCGCGACGGCGTGTTGTGTGTAGCGCGACGGCGTGTTTTTTTCTGAACGCGCTGCTGAGCTTTTGCAAATGGCTCTATCCGGACACCATGCTTTTCATATATAATGCACATGTCAAATATGAATGCCCTATCTTCGCTCCTTTAAAGGTTAGCAAACACTGATAAAATGTTTGAAAATAAGGTCAAACTTAACGTAAAGGTCCCGGGATCAAATATCATAGCACATTCGGAAACATTTAGCTATAGGTAATGCACTTGTCAAAAATGAACGCCCTATCATACATCATTCAAAAGTAATCACCAGAGTTACCGGTAATTTTTTTATATATTAGGTCTAACCTGAAGGTCAAGGTCAAGGGGTCAAAAATCTTAGCATTCTCGGAAACATCTTGTCACAGGTAATGCACATGTCACATATGAAAGCCCTATCTTTTCTCAAACAAAAGTTACAAGCAAAGATAAAATTTCTATAAAAAAAAAAATAGGTAAAATTCCAAGGTCAAGGTCACAGGCTAAAAAAAAACATAATACGTTAGGAAATGTTTTGTCACAGGTAATGTACAGGTGCAATACGAAAGCTATACCTTTTCTCATTTAAATTCCATGACCAATTTAAAGTAATGTTAAAATTTTCGAAAAGTAGGTCAAACTTCAAGGTCAAAGGGTAAAAAATCATAGTATATTTGGAAAGGTCTTGTTACAGGTAATGTGCATGTTAAATATGAGAGCCCTGTTTCTTCTTAATCAAAAATTATAAGCAAAGATAAAATTTTTGAAAAGTAGGTCAAACTTCAAGGTCATGGGGTCAAAAATCATAGTAAATTTTGAAAGGTCTTATCACAGATAATGTACATGTGAAATATGAAATCACTATCTCTTCTCATTCAAAAGTTATGACCAAGGTTAAAAATTTTGTGACAGACTGAGAGACGGACAGAATGATGTACTGATAGACAGACTGACTGACAGAGATCAAATGTTCACTCGCTTTCGCGAAAGTGGGGGGCAAAAAAGAGATTCTCTGAAAATCTATAAAAGTGTGTGTGTGTATTTGAGTATGTCTGCATTTATGACTCTCAACACAATATTACGTAATAGATATACCATACAGATTCAACTGTTTTGCGGTGTAGTGTTAATTTATACCATGGTTGGCACCGGTTCTACGTCCGGTACCAACCATGGTATATTTCAAAGATTAAACTTATTCTTAATTTTAGATGTTCAAATTGAGTCTGTGGGAATTTTAACTTATTAAGTTAAAATTCCCACAGACTCAATTTGAACATCTAAAATTTTAAAAAGTGGCACTGTAATAAATTTCATATAAACTGTGGATGTAATGAGCCTCCTTAATTTTTTCCCGCCCTTTGCAACCACTTTCAAACAATAATGCGTTTGCTTGAAAAAGTAAAGGATTCTTTTGGCGTATATAGGGATATATGTACATTGGAACCATTTGGAGGACATTTTTATCGCATAGATATTATACTGGTACTCAATATAAACAGACTTTCTTCACAAAATCATAAAAAATAGATAAGTTTAACCCCATAAAATTATATTTATATTTACTTTTTCTCGGTCCTATATAAAGAAATAGAAAAAAATGTATATATGTTTATACAGAAAACGACCTAATGTGAACAATTTGAACATCATAGAAAATTTACAATATCTTACTATTAATATAAGGAATTTGATATTTGGATCATGAACAACCGAAATAAATTAAAAATATATGTTTATCAATCCATGCAACCATTTTGTGGGGGGGGGGGGGGGGGTTAGAAAAATCAACAACGGTCTGGCCGTTTTAGGTTACCGTATTCCTTCATGACCGGTCTAAAAATAGTTTGGGAATTTTTATTCTTATTTTTATCCCATTGTAAACGTACAAGAAAATAGACTAACAAGGTGAATATATTTAAACAGAATAAGCTTTCAATAAACACTTACGTTGTTGTCCAAGTCCATGTGTGAAATCAAATGGACTGGAATGACGAGAAAATTATCATCTTTTGCACGAATCCCAGCTTCCATCACACTTTCTTGATTAAAGTGTAAAGCGCATTCTTCTGAAGTAAACTTATTCCAAACAAGAAATTTAGACACATCCTCTGCATCCTTTGAAAATACGAACAGTTTCAATTTTGACTGTATCTTTAAACATTCCTCCTCAACTGGTATTTTCCCGGGAGAATTATTTTCTTTTAGTTTGTGTCTAAACATCGAAATTTCATCTATAAGCTCGTTATGTCCCCTTACTTTTGAGATGATATCCAAAGGAATATCATATTCCCAGCAGAGTGGTGTATTCTCCGCCATGTTCCTCAGAAATTGGAAAGGAACAAGATTCTATTTTTATCGACGGGAATTTTTGTTAAGTACTACCCTTTAAAAATAACGACACGTATGCCTAGAGTGCATTGAAAAACAAAAACTACGGCGCCGCTGGATGGCCAGATAAAAAAAAAGTTTATTTGTTCTGAATTAGATACTTGTTCAAACAAAATTAGATATTTGTTTGAACGAATTAGATATTCGTTCGGACAAATTAAAAATTTGTTCGGACGAATAAGTAATTATCAAAATTGGAATCCTCTGTCCTATATTTAGATCTGTACATAGAGCAAATGCAACAACCATCCTCAGAGTTTGTTCGAATTATGACCCTCAGGGGAGGGTGGAGCCACAAAAGGCGATCAACGTTTTACCTAGGAATATATAAGAAAAACATCTTCAAGAACAGCAAAGTTCGACGGCGTACAAGTGCCTTTTTTTGCACGATTTTTTAAATTCGTTTGAACGATTTAGTTTAAACCATATTTTATTTGAAAATGACAAGCAGAAGATACAGTTAAGTACTACAAAAATCCAAAAGGATTCGGAAACAAGTTTGAAAACTTATACTAATCCGTTTCCTTATTATTATGATAAAGATGACAGACCCGTATTAGATAGCTACATAACACGGTTTGAAGCTGCTTAAAAAAAATATTTGAAATTGACATACATGTTAAATTAGAAATCATGTCGATTCACACAAATGAATGACGTTCTAATTATACAGAAGAAGTCTAATGGATTTGTACAATATGTATGTATGAGAGAGAAAAAAGCGACAGAATATGGTTGAATTTATAGGAAAAATAATTAGAGAACAAATGCAGGAGATTTACAGCAGTAACAGATATTAATTCAAAATTAGGAAGAAAAATAACAATGAGAAAAAAAAAATAAAAATGACGCTTGCTACACACACTTAAGAGAATATACATAAGAACATACCCACGGGAGAGGGAGTAGTGAATAGATACTAAGTTAAGGAAAAACTGATTAAACTGAAAACGATTTAGAAATTCATTTATACGATTTTAAATCGTTTGTTTATCAAATTATCATTATCTTAAACAATATTCAGATTAATCTGAACTGTCATTTATTATCATTGAACATAAGTCCCCACTTTTTTCCTAGTATATTCTTTTCCTCTCGATTTAGTATGAAAATTTTATTGAAAGACAGGTCCCCCCCCCCCTCCCTACTTTTTATTAGAGTGCGGCCAAACAGTCACACGTTAATGTATCAAAAAACATTTTTGTACAAAGGAGAGTTGTTTCCTAACCCACCCCAGTGAATTTTTTCGGACTTTTTCTGTTTGCTTGTCCATTATTTTCCGCTTGCCACCCCCCTTCCCACTTTGGAAAAATGATGCTTCATGTCTGGACACTGAAGTTAATGTTTTGAACACATATTCAAAAGAATAATGAATAACCATACATAACAGTAATGCTTATGTGAAGAACAAATTCTCTGTTTTTGCAAATTATCAACTTATTATTTACACGACTTTTACTTATTTATTTCGTGTTTTAGTTTGGTGATGATATGGTTGTTGGAGCGTAATTTCGTTGTGGCACAAAACTACAAGTGTGGATTATGATACCAAAAAAAATATTTTAAAAAAAAAGCAAAACTTACAAAACAACCAAACCAAAAAAAAAGCAAAAAAAAAAATGTATGTCACTTACAACATTTGAATAGTTTAGATAATACTGAGTATTCTCTAGCTGCTCTAATTTTGATCTTTTTTGAAAAACTGATATTATAATTTGCTTTCCAAGCTTAACCAATCAGATCAACAGGAACGATTTTGAATGCTGTGAGGAGGGGGGGGGGGCTTCAAAACTACTACTTTGGGGATTAATTATAATTGAGTAAAATCTTATGGTTTTATATAACAGTATTTATTTCTCCTTTAACCGACAAAAAATATGTAAAAAGTGAAGATAACGAACAGTGATTAATCTCATATACATGTGAATCTAACAGAGAATATGAATCGAGAAAAAACATTAAACTGCCGTCGGATCGCCCTTGGCCTCTTTTACCTGAAAAATTTAGAGTCCTTTTTACTTACAAACATTGAAAATGCCTAAGTGCTGAAGTCTTCTTTCCTTAAAATTACAAAGACCCCAGAACTTCCAGCCCCTTCCCCAAAATCCGAATGCAAACCTAACATGGGGTGGGGGATGGATTCAAAACCCCCCACACACACACACATAAGTAAGTTTAATGTATATAGTATAGATATTGTTTTTAGTAAGATGGGAGTTTATCTGTGATATGCGTATGCACTCTTTACAAATAAAATACATGCACTTATTCTTGTGTCCCACGTCGATAATTTGTACAGCATATACTTCTTGATGATTCCATTCCTATTTAATCACTTAGCAACTTGTTACACTTCTGTATTTCGATATACTTTCATTCTCCGCCAGAATCTGTTGGGGAGACGTCCTTCTTTCCCCTGAAGATTACCATGTTGCTTCCATTCTTTTAAATTAAATTCCTTTTAAACTGTGTACAGTATAATAACAATAATGATTTACTTACATTACTTGGGCTCGGGTTTAAGTGACGTAATTAGTATATTGTTTGGACATCTATATCTATCTGAACACGATGATAAAATTCGCTGAATTATAGCAAATTTCGATATATCGATCAACATGTTAATCAAAAAGGGATATGACTTCTATGTAAATTTAATTTCCAGAAAGGCACTTTCGAAATTCATGAAAAAAGGTTTATCTTTTTTGGATAAATCTAGCTATTTCGAAGGGGGGTGTCCTCTTCCATTATAGATATTTTTTTTAGTGCTGTCCTGTCCTGTTTCTCTTATTAATGTATCACTTGAACTGTTTTATGTATAAAATACATAAACAAACGATGAAAGCCCACTATAAATTTCGTGACATAGTGTTAATCATAATTAATGGAAAAAACGTGTTTCTTGTTATACCTTTGTGTTCTAGTGACAAATTCCTCGGGTTCGGTCCTTTTGTCAGTTAGGAACTGGGAGGTAGGTGCGCAGACGTAGGCAGATTTGATGTTGGGATAATATATTATTTTGGCATCGTGCATTAATTCATCCGAAAAATCCAAATTTAAAAATGAAATTTTCTTGTGCAGAAAATGACAAACTGTTTACCTTTATCTGAACTTTTTTTTTGAAAAAATAAGTAAATAAAATATGAAATTACTGAAGGGTACAAGCTATTAAATGGATTGTAAAATTTGTAAGTACGGGGACAAGATCAAAGTTGGGGATAATTAATTGTTACATCTTTGTTAATTAATTAATTATGTTTATTTTTCAACAAGATAAAGAGAAGTGAAGCATTCATAACAATGATGTTTTTATTTTGAATTGTTATTCCTTATTTTTGAGCATCAGACTGTGGGCAGTCAGTTGTAAAAAGAAGAGTATGAAATCCCTGGTCATTCTCTCCGGATTATTTCTGACCATTGTGGCTCAAACGGATGTTTTTGGATGGATGAGGAGTTATAATTACCAACCCTCTGGTAACATATTTGTATTAACTTTTTTTAAGCAGTAAGAGAATAAGATATATATTGGATTTAACCTTTTTTAAGGAATTCAAGAAGTTTTCATTTTACTTATATTAATAAACATATATTAAGAAAACATTCTACATATTTTTTTTCCTTCTTTTGAACTTTTCAAATCAAAGTTAAAATTGCACATACTCGAATACTAATTTCAGCGTAGGCATCATGCTTTGAAATTTTTTTCTTCTCAAATTATTAACAATTTATATCATAATATCTGAAAAAATATTATATGTACAACATTCCCCATTTGGCATATTTCACTTGCATAAAAACAAGCTATTTTTTGTCTAAGTAAGATAATTTATTTAAAAAAAAATGAAAATAAAATATTGAATAACTTTCAACCAAATATAAATGTTATTATAAGCAGAATGCAGGCTTCCAATGCAACCAGGAACTTCTCGGCTAAAGTTCCAATATGGACAAACCAACTGGTTTTATAATGCTTCATCCCAACAGTGCGAACCATTCGAATACTTCGGAAGGGGAGGCAACCGAAATCGTTTCCGGACCCCAATACATTGTCTGCGCAGGTGCGGTTGCCAGCTTAGAGAAGATCCGGGCTACTGTCCCAACTCAACAATATCTGTGATTCGCTACGCTTATAACCGTCTGTGGAGATTTTGTACAGAGTTTGAGTATTATGGCTGTGGTGGCAATATGAACAATTTTGCAACGTTCTTCGAATGTCAATTTGGATGCGGAAGATTTGATTGAAAATAATTCTGAACTGAAGCATGTATTAGCCAATGTCAGGTGTACGGTTTTGTCAGGAGGAAATAACTCTGGTGTTGAACTTGAAACATGCCATGTTACGTTGATATGGATTGTTTTTCTTTTCAAAGTGCTATTAAAGGTTCACAAAATTTTCTCTTTTTTCTTTTATATTATAAAATTCTGTGCGATTTATAGAGTGATTCTGAGGATCAAGCTTAAATTTATTCTTTAGGTCGAAAGTACAGGTAAATTATTGCCATATATACATACATGTAGTTTAATAATGTGCGATACTTTACAAAGTACGATTCTCTTTACAATATCAATCACCTGTAAATAAGAAATTGTACAGTTATGCAAACTAAAGTAAACATAATCTGGTTTTTAATACCAAACAAATCTTAACTCGACCCCGTCGTCAGCCAAAGAGATGGAATACTAGTACTTCTAGTAAAGAAATCACTAGACCCACGACATATGCACAATTTATTTTATTTTATTTTTTTATTTATTCATTCATTCATTCATTCATTCATTTATTTATTTATTTATTTATTTATTTATTTATTTATTTACATTGTATTTATTATTTGGTCTATGGAACACACCTCTACAAGAGACCTTGTGAGAATGTGATTTTTTTTTCAATGGAACAAATGACGTATGAAGTGTCAGGCCACACAAAA